TAGATGCAACCGTGCCGGGCTGCCGCAGTCCAATGTTCAGCAGCCGCCGCAGTACCCTTAGCCTTGGCCGCCTCAGCCACTCCTACAGCCAGCCGATCCGTCCGATGGCCAGCTACAGCGAGAAGGCGGTCGGCAGCTCACCCAAGCACCTGGTCAGCACCCTCAGCTCGCCCATCGAGCAGGTCGCCTGCAGTGTGTCCCGGGAGCATGCGCTCAAGCACGAGATTGACCAGCTGCAGGAGCGGCTCAAGGACACCGAGGAGCGCCTGGCCTCGGTGCGCCTGCAGAGCGACTCGCTGTCGCAGACGCAGCGCGCCCTGCGCGAGCACAACGGCCGCCTGCAGGAGGAGTCCGAGATGCTCAAGCTGGACGTGCAGCATCTGAACGAGTGCGCCAGTGTCCTGCGCTCGGAGCTCCAGGCGGCACGCCGAGATCGCGGCGAGGCCCTGCAGCTGCAGCGCTCGCTGCGTGCCGAGCTGGAGGAGGTGCAGCAGGAGCGGCGGCGAATGGGGGAAGGCAAGGAGAAGGATGGCAGGATCATACAGGATCTGCAGCGCCAATGCCGGGAGATGGAGCGTATACTCATGCGCAAGCATCCCGATTCTGTGTCGGCTCTCATAGGTTTGTGATTAAATGGGAAACTAATTGGGGAAGTAATATTAATGGAATCTCCCCCTTTTTAGTGGCCTCCAAAAATCCCGGCATGTGTCCCTGAATGATCAGGAGAACATGAACAGCCGCAAGCTGCTGAGCAGCGCATTGCCCAGCTGGAGTCGGATGCCAAGGAGCAGGATCGCAAGGCCCAGCAGATCCTGGCCAATGTGCAGGCCCGCTTCAATTCCGTCAGGCCAAGTACGAGACCCACATAGCGGACTTGGAGACGCAGGTCTTGAGGTGGTTGAATTAATAGTTAATGTAAATATAACTACATCCCTCTCCCCCTACAGTCTCCAGGAGATCAACACAAAGCTGAACGAACAGATCGAGTCGCAGGTTCGCACCCTGGATCGCTATATGCAGAAGCGTGCCGATCGCTTCTACAACAATTGCACCCCAAACGGAGCCACCATCGACTGGTGCGGAGGGGGAGCCCATTAGCGCCATCCCTGAGGCCAACTCCGCCACCACTGGTACCCAGACCAAGGCTGCAAATGGGACCAGGGATCACAGTACCAATACCATTGGCTGCCCCTCGCCGGCCCTCGTTTGCCAGCAGCCGCATCTCCATCCCCATGCCCATGCCCATGCCCATCCACATCCACATCCACCGTCGGCCAGCAGTAGCACCAGCAGCACCGCCAATTCCACACCGAACACATCGCGTCCGAATTCGAAGCAAAGCGGCAGCGGTGCCCAAAGGCGTCGCCACTGGCTGTGAGTGGTGCTGGTGGCACCGCTCCAAGCTGCCAATCTCTCAGTCCGAGTCCACGCTCTCCCTGCTCAGCCACGGGACCCGGGTCCTCCAAGGAGGAGGCACAGCTCCTTAGCTCCGTGCGAAGCATGCGCGTCGATTTGGCCATCAAAAACAAGGCAATGCAACGCTTGACACGGGAATTGGATGATTGCAAGAAGACCATACGGAAGCTGCAGCGGGACAGGGAGGGTAGCGGCACCTCCAGCCATACAGGTGAGTTTGAGCTCGAATCCATAACCATTCCCATCCAGTTCCAAGAGCATGCCTCTCCCTCTCTCTGTGTCTCTGTATCTCTCTGTCTCTCTAATTTGGTTGTGTTTGTGTCACTCGGTCGATGCCGATGGATGGCTTGGTAATTTATGGACTTTCTCTGCCCGGTCAGCAGCACGTACAGCACTGGGCTCCACTCCCCACTCCGCACTCCTTCTCCTACCCAGCTGCCTCCCTCCCTCCGGGGAGTTACCTGGCTGAGACGGCAAATAAATTGCTGGAATAAATCATTGTACGGCTGTCGACGGTGTCGGCCTTTTGACCACTTTTTGCACTCGTTTCAAACGGCAATTGCAGCGCAACTAAGCTGCTAAGCGGCCAATGGCCAAGACGACACAAAACAGCACACAAACACGTTTCGACTGAACGGCTGGCCAAGATGGGGCTTAACCCCTTGAAGACCAAGAGTCATGTAGGGGCACACTTTATTATTTGGTCTTTTTGAGATCTCTTTAAATGTGTTTCTAAATTCATGAAATACATATAACAAGATATCGGTTTAGGGTGTATTACTTTAATGTTGTTAACACTTTTAAATCTTTCCTTGATATACAGATATAGTAACTTACAAATTAATTATTGAGTATTTCTTCTCTCTTAAATATTATATTATTATTATAAACTGTAAAGCTTAACCTTTTCTGGGGTTAAGTCCAATCGGCCAGAAAACGAAACCGAATCCACAACACTCAGTGTTGCTGTTGTTGTTGGAGACAGCTGGACAGCACATGGATGGAGCTGCCTTTGGGGAGAGGAGGAGGAGGAGGAGGGTTAGAGGGGCATCTCGGCCACTTGGTTATGTCACCTGTGCGGTCTGGACGCTTATGCCTGGTGTGTGGCGTGTGTGCGCTTGTTGTTTATTTACCTTTTGTCGATTCGGATTTGAATTTCTTGCCATCGAAAAGAAAATTCGAAGCGAAAGTCAAAGTCAAAGACGCGTTTGTTGTTTTCGGGTTCGGTGGACGCTGCTGGATCAGGTCTTCTCAGCCAGCTCCAGCTCCAGCTCCAGCTCCACCTTCGCCTTCGCCTTTGCCTTTGCCTCTCCTTACACACGGGTTTTATAATGCCAGCTTGAGTTTGCTTATGGCCTCTTCTGCGTATTTTTGTGGCTAATTAATGGGCCGTTGCTTCGTCGCTCACATTTGTTAGTTGTGTATTTTATTGTTGTAGTTTTTTTCGTGGCTTTAATAATTGTAAATGCCAAAAGCGGACGGCTTAAATAGACATCATCAGCTTGTGTTTTAATTTCCAACGAGCGCGTGCGTGTAAGAAATGCAAAACGCTCTTCATAACATTATGTTTTTGGGATTATGCAATTTGTCGTAGTTTTTAATTTGTGGAAATTTCTATCTGTCCCAAAATAAATTCGACCCAGACGGGCGGCGGCTCAATGAACTCGGATTTACATAAGAGCGAAGCCTCTTCATCCTCTTTATCTAATGTCGATTAATCGGTTATTCATTCTTTTTTGCAGGCAGCAAATTGGATCTCCGCCCCCAGGCCAGTGCCATTTCGCTGCCAAGTGGCCGCCGCTCCAGTGGCTACGATCATGGTCATCATTACAGCGATCACGTACCGGCGGCCACCGAAAGCCAGGCCCTGAAGGAGGCCCAGAACAAGTACCGGCTCTTGGAGGCGGACTACAAGACGCTCCATGACAAGCGCCTGCAGGATGTGAGTCCTTGTTGATTAATCAACTAACAGCAAATGTGTGAAACGAATTCAATTACAGCTAAAGACCCTGCAGAGCGCCCATGAGCGAGAGCTGGCCACCTGCAATGAGACCGTGCGCATCCTCCAGCAGCGCCTCAACGAGCGGGAGGAGGCCTTTGCCACCCAGAAGCGACGCAAGGTGCCCGTGGATTACTATGCACTGAAAGCCAAGGTACAAAAGCCAGCAAAACCCAAACTGCAGCCAAAGGCCAGTTTTCAAGAATCAAAGAAATGAGAATTCGAAACACAGTCAAGTGGAGTTTTGATTTTGCGGGCAAAACAAAACCAAAACCAAAAATATGATTCTACTGTAACTTTCCAATATATATTATATATGTGTTATATATTATCTGGAACATGGTTCCTTTCGTTGTCCTTGCCTCTCTTCCCCAAAGGTATCCCTGCTGGAGCGCAGACACTCGGAGCGGGAGGAGCGACTGCACATGCTGGTGAGGCCCTGAGCAAGGGCAGACTCAATGGAGCCTCGAGGATCTGTTGCAGGAGAACAACAACAAGTAGGAGAGAGAGTTTATTTTTAAGCCACATTGCCAGCCAAAAAGAAGAAAAATTCGTCTAGGAGTCCGTCTAAGCAGAAGAAACATCCAATGATATTTAGAAATTTTAACCAGTGAAAGGATAGTGTGCCTCCGTTTGGATTGCAGCTTCAGGCCGCCGCTTCTTTCATTAAACAGATTCAACAATGTGTTCAAGGAAAGGAAACAATAACTAAATCCAACACAATTAATATAGGATTAAGATCTATGTATTTTCCTCGCGCTTGAAGCTGCAATGTGAGCTGGTAGCAAGGATATTTACAGCGACAGGATAGGGAGGATAGAAACGTTATTGTAGTTCTTAGCGCCGAACGTATTGTATTTATAAAACTATCAATGTTTCGATGTAGAAATTGAATTGTTCGTTCACACAACTTGGAAAGAGAGGAAAGATGCCAGATGAAAGCGGAAAAGAGCGAATAAGAAAGAGATGGGGAGCAGTGACCGCGAAAAAGACAGAAACAAATACAGCAGACCGAAGTATTCGGAGCGATCTCAACTTGAATATTATATATTTGATTTAGCGTAACGAACCCATAATTTTTTTACCTTGCCCCTAAAACTAATTATTATTATTATTACTATTATTGTGTGTGTGTCTGTTTTTAAGATAGAAACTTTGAAAAAGTTGTTAAACAAAAGTAACGACAGGGACCGTAGATAAATGTTTATTATTCTATGATTTACACTAAGTAAAGCGATTCGAAGCATTCCAATATAAACCTAACTTTTTGAAAATTAAAAGATATAGTAAACAAATTACTTGTTTGCTTAAAATCAATAGAATTAAATAGTAAACTCTGGATTGAGATATAATTCTTTTTTTTAACAAATTAATTGTGAACGAATTCGTTATTAATATGTATATGTTTCTAAACAATTTGTATGTCTCAAGTGTTAAAACAAAATATAGAATAATAATTATATTTATTTATGCGACGTTTTTGGAGCACGTACAATAAATCCAAATCAACTACGGTCCCTGCCAGATAAAGCAAACTGAACAAAATATAAAATTAGATTAGAAAATAGACTTTTTCGAAAAAAAAAACAAAAACAAAAACCAAAGACAAACTGTATCCAAGCAGGCAGAGTAGGACCTAAGAAACAAAACTCAAGAGAGAAAAATCCAAATAAAAATTAACAGTATTCCGAGACACACCAAATCCCTTACTGTATACATTAAGATATATCTAAGCACATTTGGAGTATATTAGGAGGCATTCCCTGCCACGGACATGCTGCACCACAACACTTTGGCCACCACCAGTTCCCTGAGATTGGTTCGTGGCCGCGTTCACCGTCGCCCGCTGCCAAATCGCTTCCAGGAGCACCGCCAGCGGCTGGAGAGGGCCACTAGCCGGGTGGACCATCGACCGCCACGGTTGCCCGCTATGCAGCTAAATGGACTTCCGGCCCTTTCCCAGGATGCCCGCCTCTTCCTGCAGCGAACCCATGAGAATGCCCACCTGCTGCTGAATCTATCGCGGATTAGGCGCATTGGCGGTACCGTTGGCCTTTTCGACGATCGCATTCCCCAGAGCCTTTCGTCGCTGCCCCATATGATGCGACGGGTCGAGGAGCTGCAGCGCCAGAACGACTTCCTGGGTCATCGGCTCATGAGTGTCCACGGGAAGCGGCAGCGGCGTTGGAACGATGGTCATCCGTTGGCCACGACCGGGAGGCGACCAGGTCTGGAGCTGGCACAGGAGCTCTCTCAGACCACTACTCAATCGTATCTGCCGGACTCGAAGAGCGATGTGTTTGCAAAGTACTCCACCTGTGCTCTGGAGCTGCCCGGGAATAGGAGCGAGCTGCTGCGACTGCTCCGGCCCCGGATTGTCCTGTACTTTGGCCTCATGGACGGCCGTTCGCTGGGCCGGGTGGTGATTCAGCTATACACCGAGGCAGCACCGCTGGTGGTGCTCCAGTTCATTCGCACCTGCCAGCGCCAGCGGGCCCATGAGTTTGCCGTGCGCCGCATCTTCCCCAATCTCTGGCTGGAGGGTTACCTCCTCGGTTGCAACCGGCAACAAGGACACTCTGCGGATCCGCCACCCCAGCTCCGAGACCCCATGGAGTTCGATACGCGCGTGTTGAGCCACGAGCGGCACAACTGTGTCCTGTCCTGCGCCAAGGAGTACTGCGTCCATGGATTTCCCGGCGGAGCCATCAACTTTAGCATCAGCTTTAAGCCACTGCCCGCGGCCAAAGGCCAGCGGGTGGCCTTCGGCCGGGTGGTGCGCGGCGCCAAGGTCGTAGGATGCATGCAGTTGTATGGCACCAAGAACGGCAAGATGGTAAGACCGCTGGTCATTACCCACTGCGATGTGTTGTAGAGAGGACGGATGCTGGATGCGATGGGCTCCTAAGGAGGCTTCTGGTGCTCTTCCTGCCAGGCGAAGACGATTCCCTAACTTATACGTGAGGAATCCTGCCTGGGGGGAGTGTCAAAGTACTTAAGGAGCTCCTCTTCCGTCCTCTCCTCACAAGTTGAAAATTTACAGATGCGTATGGAAGTTATTGGGATTTTACGGCTTGACTCTTAATTTCCCGAATTCTTTTTTATTATATTTTGTTTGTTGGTTTTTGTAAGGTTCATATTCCGTGCTTACCATTGTCACAAAATAAAATACTGACCGTTGCAGGGTAGAAACCACATACATATATTCTTGATATAAATTAATTTTAAGTTCGACAAAGTAACTTAGCCCAAAATAAATTCAAATACAACAAACCCAACAACAAACAACAATCCAATTTAGCGAATTTACCATTTAAATTTCTCAAGTTCTACCAGGCGAACAGAATATTCAGCAAGCAGCTAAACCGCTGATGCAAATGCTCCAAAGTAACGGTTCTTAAAAGTTGGGAACGTGAAGATCATCTCTGATTGGTCTAATCAGATGTAAACAAAGGGCGGCCATTAATTCAAAGTCCTAAGTAACGGATCTTAGAAGAGACGAACTTAAAGACCGTGTCTGATTGGTCTAATCAGATGTAAACAAAGGGCGGCCATTAATTCAAAGTCCAAAGTAACGGATCTTAGATGAGACGAACTTGAAGAAAGTCTCTGATTGGTGAATTTAAAGAGCGGCCATTAGGATTTGGAATGCTGGTGTAATGCTGCTGAGCTGCTGCCAGCCGATTCTGTTTGCCTGGTATACCAATTGTTAAATCAATCCGATTTAATGCCCATATTTATATGAAATAACAACAAATCCAACAACATACACCACAAAATTAACGAAATTCGCCATACAAACTTCTTAAAACTTGACTTTATACACCAGGCGAACAGAATATTCAGCAAGCAGCTAACCCGCTGATGCAAATGCTCCAAAGTAACGGTTCTTGTAAGTTGGGAACGTAAAGATCGTATCTGATTGGTCTAATCAGATGTAAACAAAGGGCGGCCATTAATTTCAAAGTCCTAAGTAACGGATCTTAGAAGAGATGAACTTGAAGATCGTCTCTGATTGGTCTAATTAGATGTAAGTAAAGCGCGGCCATTAATTTCAAAGTCCTAAGTAACGGATCTTAGAAGAGATGAACTTGAAGATCGTCTCTGATTGGTCTAATTAGATGTAAGTAAAGCGCGGCCATTAATTTCAAAGTCCTAAGTAACGGATCTTAGATGAGACGAACTTGAAGAAAGTCTCTGATTGGTCAATTCAAATGTAAACAAAGGACGGCCATTAGAATTTGGAATGCTGAAAAGCTCCGCTTTACTTTGGCGTTATCTCAATACCCTTGCCGTGTAAATCACTTGTGCTGCTGGATTGCTGCCATCTCTTTCCGATTCTGTTTGCCTGGTATATCATAAACGTGAAATTGTGAAATTTAAGAATCAGGCTGATTAAAAAAAGCGCAGTCGGGGGGCTATGCAGATTTATTTATTTTAATGGAAACTGACATGGAACGATTTCCGAATTAAAATTAATGCTTTTATTACTTAGTTATGGGTTCTTTAAATTTTAATTTATCAAAAATAAATTTGCATATAAAAATGTAAATAAATATAGGTTAAATGATTGGTAATATAGTTTCAGTCTGAAGCTTAAAAATAAGTGAAGGACCCATTATCATATATATTCTTGATCAGCATCTACAGGCCTTTCTTTCTAGCTTTATCCGGCGGAAAAAAAATGTTTCAGAAATTTCCCATTTTTCGGAAAAAGGAAGGGGTTACATCATGAAAATTTGCAAAAATCGGCCAAAAATTCACATTTTAAATTGAGTATGCAGTTTGTTAACCTGCTAAAAATTAACGTACTGCCGCTTTCCGAATTGAAATGAATGCGTTTTTGGCTTAGTTATGAATTTTTAAATTTTGATTTGTCGAAAAATTTCATATAAAAATATTGTTAATTTCGGTATAAAAATGGTAATGGACCTTCAGTTAGAAGCTTAAAAATAAGTGAAGGAGCCATTTCCGACCCCACAAATCATATATATTCTTTATCAGCATCTACAGGCCTTTCTTTCTAGCTTTATCCGGCCGAAAAAAATTTTTTCAGAATTTCCCATTTTTCGGAAAAAAGGAAAGGGGTTACATCATGAAAATTTGCAAAAATCGGCCAAAAATTCACATTTTAAATTGAGTATGCAGTTTTGTTAACCTGCTAAAAATTAACGTACTGCCGCTTTCCGAATTGAAATAATGCGTTTTTGGCTTAGTTATGAAATTTTTAAATTTTGATTTGTCGAAAAATTTCATATAAAAATATTGTTAATTTCGGTATAAAAATGGTAATGGACCTTCAGTTAGAAGCTTAAAAATAAGTGAAGGAGCCATTTCCGACCCCACAAATCATATATATTCTTTATCAGCATCTACAGGCCTTTCTTTCTAGCTTTATCCGGCCGAAAAAATTTTTTCAGAAATTTCCCATTTTTCGGAAAAAAGGAAAGGGGTTACATCATGAAAATTTGCAAAAATCGGCCAAAAATTCACATTTAAATTGAGTATGCAGTTTTGTTAACCTGCTAAAAATTAACGTACTGCCGCTTTCCGAATTGAAATTAATGCGTTTTTGGCTTAGTTATGAAATTTTTAAATTTTGATTTGTCGAAAAATTTCATATAAAAATATTGTTAATTTCGGTATAAAAATGGTAATGGACCTTCAGTTAGAAGCTTAAAAATAAGTGAAGGAGCCATTTCCGACCCCACAAATCATATATATTCTTGATCAGCGTCTACAGGCCTTTCTTTCTAGCTTTATCCGGCCGAAAAAAATTTTTTTCACAAATTTCCCATTTTTCGGAAAAAAGGAAAGGGTTACATCATGAAATTTGCAAAAATCGGCCAAAAATTCACATTTTAAATTGAGTATGCAGTTTTGTTAACCTGCTAAAAATTAACGTACTGCCGCTTTCCGAATTGAAATTAATGCGTTTTTGGCTTAGTTATGAAATTTTTAAATTTTGATTTGTCGAAAAATTTCATATAAAAATATTGTTAATTTCGGTATAAAAATGGTAATGGACCTTCAGTTAGAAGCTTAAAAATAAGTGAAGGAGCCATTTCCGACCCCACAAATCATATATATTCTTTATCAGCATCTACAGGCCTTTCTTTCTAGCTTTATCCGGCCGAAAAAATTTTTTTCAGAAATTTCCCATTTTTCGGAAAAAAGGAAAGGGGTTACATCATGAAAATTTGCAAAAATCGGCCAAAAATTCACATTTTAAATTGAGTATGCAGTTTTGTTAACCTGCTAAAAATTAACGTACTGCCGCTTTCCGAATTGAAATTAATGCGTTTTTGGCTTAGTTATGAAATTTTTAAATTTTGATTTGTCGAAAAATTTCATATAAAAATATTGTTAATTTCGGTATAAAAATGGTAATGGACCTTCAGTTAGAAGCTTAAAAATAAGTGAAGGAGCCATTTCCGACCCCACAAATCATATATATTCTTGATCAGCATCTACAGGCCTTTCTTTCTAGCTTTATCCGGCCGAAAAAATTTTTTTTCAGAAATTTCCCATTTTTCGGAAAAAAAGGAAAGGGGTTACATCATGAAAATTTGCAAAAATCGGCCAAAAATTCACATTTTAAATTGAGTATGCAGTTTTGTTAACCTGCTAAAAATTAACGTACTGCCGCTTTCCGAATTGAAATTAATGCGTTTTGGCTTAGTTATGAAATTTTTAAATTTTGATTTGTCGAAAAATTTCATATAAAAATATTGTTAATTTCGGTATAAAAATGGTAATGGACCTTCAGTTAGAAGCTTAAAAATAAGTGAAGGAGCCATTTCCGACCCCACAAATCATATATATTCTTGATCAGCGTCTACAGGCCTTTCTTTCTAGCTTTATCCGGCCGAAAAAATTTTTTTCAGAAATTTCCCATTTTTCGGAAAAAAGGAAAGGGGTTACATCATGAAAATTTGCAAAAATCGGCCAAAATTCACATTTTAAATTGAGTATGCAGTTTTGTTAACCTGCTAAAAATTAACGTACTGCCGCTTTCCGAATTGAAATTAATGCGTTTTTGGCTTAGTTATGAAATTTTTAAATTTTGATTTGTCGAAAAATTTCATATAAAAATATTGTTAATTTCGGTATAAAAATGGTAATGGACCTTCAGTTAGAAGCTTAAAAATAAGTGAAGGAGCCATTTCCGACCCCACAATCATATATATTCTTGATCAGCATCTACAGGCCTTTCTTTCTAGCTTTATCCGGCCGAAAAATATTTTTTTCAGAAATTTCCCATTTTTCGGAAAAAGGAAAGGGGTTACATCATGAAATTTGCAAAAATCGGCCAAAAATTCACATTTTAAATTGAGTATGCAGTTTTGTTAACCTGCTAAAAATTAACGTACTGCCGCTTTCCGAATTGAAATTAATGCGTTTTTGGCTTAGTTATGAAATTTTTAAATTTTGATTTGTCGAAAAATTTCATATAAAAATATTGTTAATTTCGGTATAAAAATGGTAATGGACCTTCAGTTAGAAGCTTAAAAATAAGTGAAGGAGCCATTTCCGACCCCACAAATCATATATATTCTTGATCAGCATCTACAGGCCTTTCTTTCTAGCTTTATCCGGCGAAAAAAAATTTTTTCAGAAATTTCCCATTTTTCGGAAAAAGGAAAGGGGTTACATCATGAAATTTGCAAAATCGGCCAAAATTCACATTTTAAATTGAGTATGCAGTTTTGTTAACCTGCTAAAATTAACATACTGCCGCTTTCCGAATTGAAATTAATGCGTTTTTGGCTTAGTTATGAAATTTTTAAATTTTGATTTGTCGAAAAATTTCATATAAAATATTGTTAATTTCGGTATAAAAATGGTAATGGACCTTCAGTTAGAAGCTTAAAAATAAGTGAAGGAGCCATTTCCGACCCCACAAATCATATATATTCTTTATCAGCATCTACAGGCCTTTCTTTCTAGCTTTATCCGGCCGAAAAATATTTT